GGGCTCACCTGTGCTGTCCTGTACCTGCAGGGAGGGCGGGCTCACCTGTGCTGTCTGGCACCTGCAGGGAGGGCGGGCTCACGTGTGCTCTGTAGCAGGCCCAGGTTGGATAGGGGGGTCTTGGGTGATCTGATGAGGTGGCACTGTAAGGGTGTGGCCCCTTCACAAAGCAAGATGGCAGGTGCCCTTGGGTCTCATGGTCCCGTTCTTAAAAATTCATGTGAAGGAAATATGGCAGAAGAAAAATGTACATTTTTTTAAAATGCATCATTAAATTATCTACAAGATCAAAGATAATGAAGTATGGGGACAGATGTAACTGGATTGAGTAGTATGTAGCCATTAAAATAACTGTGACAATGTTTAACCTAGTGTTTAGGAAGAATACATAAATGCATGTTCCCTAGGACCATGTAGCTCTGCACATAGGCAACCAAACACTAAGTCCGAAGGGCATGGTGAGAAGGGGTAGGGTCGTGTGGGTCATTTTACAGTTGAGAAAAGAAACCCAAGTGGTGTGTTGGGCTGGGCAGCACCATCCAGGCGAGGAAGGCTCTGAGTCAAGGCCACACTGTGGGCCCAGCTGCCACCGTCCCAGCCTATAGGAGCCGTGCTGCAGGCCCAGCTGCCACCGTCCCAGCCTGTAGGAGCTCCAGGCCCGGCTGACCCAGCTCACCCAGTGGAGGCTGTCAGGGCTGGGCTGCGGGCGCACCACCGGCTTGGGGAGCCAGGTAGAGGACCTCACAGGGCGTCCTGGGTGCCTGGAGGGAGAGTTCCCACGCAGGGGTGTGAAGTGGGACACAGATGGCTGGTGGCTAGGGTGGAGTGAGGAAACCACAGTTTGGCTGCACTCGGTTGAGGAGGGCTTGAAAGGTGAGGCAGTGGACACAGGGATGTGAGTTGTGTCCCCAGGCTTGATTGTGTGTGTGTGTGTGAGTGTGTGCATGACTGAGAGTCTGTGTGTGAGTGTGTGTGACCAAGAGTGTGTTGTGAGAGTCTGTGAGTGTGTGTGTGACCGAGTGTGTGTGTGACTGAGAGTCTGTGTATGAGTGTGTGTGACTTGAGAGTCTGTGAGCGTTTGTGAGTATGAGTGTGTGCATGTGTGAGTATGTTTGTATGAGAATCTGTGACTGAGAGTCTGTATGTGAGTGTGAGTTTGTATGTGAATGTGAGTGTGAGTGATAGAGTCTTAGGAGAGTGTGTGACTGGGAGACTGTGTGTGAGGGCGTGTGAATGAGTGTGCGTGTGACTGAGTCTGCATGTGAGTGTGTGAGAATGTATACATGTGAGAGTGTGTATGTGTGTGGTGTGGATGTGTGGGTATCTGCGTTGAGTGTGTGGATATCTGTGTGTGTGCCTGTGTGAGAATGCATGTGTGAGTGTGTGAGAGTATGGGTATGTGTGTGCGTGAGTGCATGTGGGATGTGGGAGGGTTTCTGCGAAAAGGGGACCTAGGACACTTCACCAAAGAAGACATTCAGGCGGCTAACAGACACATGAGGAAATGCTCACAATCATTAGCCATTAGAGAAATGCAGATCACAACTACAATGAGATACCATCTCACCCCAACAAAGCTAGCATTAATCCAAAAAACACAAAATAATAAATGTTGGAGAGGTTTTGGAGAGACTGGAACACTTCTACACTGCTGGTGGGAGTGTAAAGTGGTACAACCACTTTGGAAATCGATTTGGCGCTTCCTTAAAAAGCTAGAAATAGAAGTACAATATGATCCAGCAATCCCACTCCTTGGAATATATCCTAGAGAAATAAGAGCCATCATATGAATAGATATATGCACACCCATGTTCACTGAAGCACCGTTCATGATAGCAAAAAGATGGAAACAACCTAGGTGCCCGTCAACAGACAAATGGATAAACGTTGGTATATTCATACAATGGAATACTACGCAACGATAAAGAACAATGATGAAGCCGTGAAACATAACATGGAGGAATCTGGAAGGCATTATGCTGAGTGAATTTAGTCAGTCACAAAAGGACAAATATTGTATAAGACCACTATTATAAGAACTCAAGAAAAGGTTTAAACACAGAAGAAAACATTCTTTGATGGTTATGAGGGTGGTGAGGGA